CCAATCAGACGTGCGACGCCGCCAGGGCGCAGAGGTCGCCCAACATCAGGTCGTCGTCGATCACTTACAGTCAGGATTCACAGCATAGTAAGTACTATTAAAAAATTATATTTTCAATAAAAACATTTGTTTCCCTACCACAATAAATTGTTTCATGGTGTAAGAAATGTTACGTAGGTTTTATAAATCGAGTAACATACATGGTGTTCCGATAATAATTGAAAAATAATTTTTTTCCTGAAATCTAATAAACTTCCATTATTCTAAACAGCTCAAAATTCCTCCTATAAAAATGTATCCATTTCTGAGTTCTGTAAAACAAAATTTAATATTTCAAAGTTCCTAGTACATTTTTTATTATTGAATGTATTGTTTTTTTCTCGTGTAATTTTTTTAATTGGTTTTATAAAATGGGTAATTTGCACTTTTGCACATATAATTTTCACATTTCTTGAATATTCCATACAAACAAACAAAATTGTATTATTAGAGTTCAAATAATACAATTGTTCAAAAACAAAACATTTTTTTATATAAAATAGTTGTAAAAGAAAGTGTATAAATAACATATTATTTATTTTATCATTTTCACTGGAATTTTCAAAAAAATATTGAAATTAAGAATTTTTATTTAATTTTATTGTTGCCTTAGAATTAGATGGTAGTGCCAATATCGGCCAATTGTATTGGTTATTGGTATTCACCTTCTGCTCCAGTGGCGTAAAAAATTAAAATTGAAAGAAATATTTGTTCCTTTAAAAAGTAAGAGATATTTGAAAAAAATTATTAAATAAAAGTTGTTGATTTTGACGACACCCTGACTTAATAAAAAATATTTGTGTTTTATTACTTATCTGTTGATGGCCTGAACACCTTATAAATTGGCACACTGTGTCCTTTTTTTACTAATAAAAAAATTACTGAATTTCACAGAAATCATGCAAACAACTACTAACATCATGTTTCTCAATTTACCAAGTCGCAGTTTTGATTATTTAATTTTTTTGAAATTCAATCCCATGACATCTTGGATACTTTTTGTGTATTTTTCCATTACATGGGATTATCTGGAAAACTTAAGAAACAAATTAAAAGACTGATGGTATGGTTTTTTGTTCCAATTTTTGTTAAGAAAAAAAACATGCAAAGCACTTTTCAGTTTTTCTCAGAAAATGTCAATTGGGATTAACCGAATCTATATCTCGGATAAAAACAGCAATAACTATGTAGGTACTTTTTTTTAGTAGAACACAGCGTAGAAGAAAAATAAGCTTATCTATTTTTGAATTTCAAATAAACCTGCCTCCTAAATTCCATTTATACCAAACGTGTAAAAAAATTTGGCAAATTTTTAACAAGAAAACAAGCTGTTTTATTTTTCCCTTTTCTCGAATAAACGTTGCTTGTTGTTTCAGGGGATGACATAAAGCCGTGCCCTCGGTGCCAGGTACTGATTGTTAAGATGGACGATGGCTCCTGCAACCATATGATGTGCACTGTTTGCGGAGCCGAGTTTTGCTGGCTGTGCATGAAGGAAATCAATGATCTTCATTTCTTAAGGTAGGTGAGCAGTCTCTATAGAAACGAACTTGGTACATTGAAAGTTCTTTTTTTCAGAGATTCGTACGGTTTTGGACAACCCCGCCCTGTTCGAGAAGTACGAAGACTTCATGGTGAGGAGAGTGTTGGCGGTCGACCCGGACACCAGGTGGTGCCCGGCCCCCGACTGTTGTTTTGCTGTGATAGCCAGTGAATGCGCCAGTTGTCCAAAGTTGAAGTGCGAGAGGCCAGGGTGTGATTCTTACTTCTGTTACCACTGCAAGGCCAAGTGGCANACGATGGCTCCTGCAACCACATGATGTGCACTGTCTGCGGAGCCGAGTTTTGCTGGCTGTGCATGAAGGAAATCAATGATCTTCATTTCTTAAGGTAGGCGATGTTTATTTCAGAAATTATTATTAATTACTGGCTTTACAAGAAGGATAATTAAAAAGTTAACGTGCAGTCAGAGGTCAAAAAAAATAGACCTCTGAAGAATTTTTTTGAATTGTATGTTTTTTATTTAATACATAATACCAAGTTCTGAAACTATAGTTTAGGTAACTTTCACAAAAATTTAAAAAAAATATGTTCGTTTTGGACTAAGTTATCGGCTTTCTTGCAAAAGTGTTTTGCGGTGGCTATCAGTGGTTTAGGTGAGAGCAATGCAAAAAGAAAAATTGTTAGCTTAATAAGTCTATCTTGTCTATCTATCTTGTGCTCGATCCAAAGATTTTTTTTTAAATTTTCCAAATGGTGGTCTCTGAAATTTTTTGAGGAATTTTGAGGGAAAAATAGCTCGTTAATTGTTTAGCAAAAATAGAAGTTCTGGTTAAAAAAAAAATCCATCAATCTGGCACATATTTCTAATGCCTAGAATATGTTGTATAAATTTAATTTAAATTTAAATCCATCGATTGGTTTTTAAAATATAGTGGCTACCATACCTGAAAACGTTGTTTTGAGAAAAACACATTTAAAGTTTCACACTACTGTGCAATACACAGCTGGGAAATTCACATGGTCCATCTGCCTTTACATGAGAGCGACAAAGTAAAGAAATCTGTGCGATAGACAAGGATGGTTATATTGAAGACGTTTAATAATCTGAATAGTCACCCCCACATCTAACCGAGAGTATCAAGAAACGGGCAGTGACTCTTCAGATTATGAAATGTCTTCAATATAACCATCCTTGTCTATCGTACCGATTTCTATGACTTACTTTGTCACTCTCACATAGAAGCAGACGGACTATGTGGATTTTCCAGCCATGTATAATAGACCTTCTGCCAATGTGCGAGCTTCCGTAACGTCGATTTATTATCTACATATCATTGTATCTTATCGAATGTTTTCGTTTGCATGTTGGTCTACAAGATGTATATGCCGGCCCGTAACATTGCCATTCGCTACCTGAGATCTGCCCTAAAAGGGCCCTACAGTTATTGTAGGATATCTTTAAAACTATTATATAATCTACTATTTTCCTGAAAACTCTTCGTTACTGAAAGCAGAGAGGTAGCACATAATTTCCATCTTCATTTCTTCATTAGAATTGATTATCACACTGTTTTTTCACTGTTCCAGTATCAAGGCTTCCGTAACCATGAGGAAGAATGTAAATGTAAAACGTAAATTTCAAATCCTCAAATCACAATAAATATAGATAGTTAAACATCGCTTTGTTACTAACAACCACAAGGACTCTGATCGTTTTATTGTAGTGGTGATATACATTTGAGAAGACTAGACAATGTGGCATTTGCAAATATTCACCTATTTCTTTGTCCAAAAACTTTAAAAATTAGTCCTTTTTGTCTTGAGCACTGTCATCTGCATTGTAATCCAACAAGGTTGGCATTCTACATAAAGTTCCAGAAATGAATTTTGTTTTCGAGATATTTTGAAATTAAGTTTTAGTCATACACATATTCCCCAAAAAAACAATGCATTGCATTAAAATTTAGTACAGATAAGTTTTTGAGGGAGCTAAATACCTCGTTGTTCATTAGGGCTCCCAACTCTCCCGGAATGCCTGGGAGTCTCCGGGAATAATGTTCAACCTCCCGAGCTCCCGGCGTGCAATAATTTCTCCCGATTTTCTAAAATAAAATTAATTGTCATTAACAAAATAGATAAATCCCTCATATTAGGTACCTACCGCTACTTCTACCTCTACCCCGCGTGCCGTTCCTTTGTTTGTCTTGCTAAATATGTACACAATAGTGGTGGGCAAGATCCGCATCATACGTATAAATCATACGGATCTCTAGTGGGAATCGATTCATGCGGATCCCGATGCAAAAATAATTTTGTATGTTTCGCATCACCGCATCAATGTGAGTTGAGACTGAAGTGAAGTGAATCGGTATGAACTGATTTTCGTATCCGATACAGGAATGAGAAAGTGGGAGGCGTACGCATACTGGGAATCAGTTCATACGTATACCGATATAAGAATAATTTTATATATTCGCATCACCGCATCAATACGAATTGGGAATGAATCGGTCTCAACTGATTCTCGTGTCCGATACAGATCGATGAGATACGATGCATTAGAAACAGTTTAGTGCATAGGAAACTAAATATTGAAATGATTTATATGAAATTGTGGAGTCTGAAACAAACTTATAATGTAAAAAGTAATTGTCAGAGTGATGTGTGTTTCGTATTGTCAGGGTAAAGTGTATTTCGTATTTAAATGTTGGATCCTTTGACCGAAAATAAATTTAAACATTAATTTATTTCACTTAAAAATAATTTACTGCTTTCTCAACTTAAGTTCAAATATATTACTGCTTTGTTTCTGTTGATATTCATAGTTCTATTAAAAAATGAATTTATAGATGTTTGCAAAAAATTTGCAAATCTTGCTGTGTGGTATATTGACAGGTAATTACCTTAATTACCTTCCCTTAAATTAATTTATAAATTAATAAATAAAACACAAAAGCAATTTGTGCTTTGACTGCTGCTACTGTGTAAAAAGAGACTGAAAAAGTAATGCGATAGTTCTTTCTTATATTGGAATTTAATTAGAAAATATACGTGACAGAGTGTGATACGAGATTCAATATATGAAACGGGAATGAGTGAGGAAGTACAAATTGTACTTGTACATCCGCACTGAATATGATTCCCTGATGCGGATCTTTTGATGCGGATCTTTATGTTGATACATTTTGCATCATGCGGATCATTAAAAAGATCAGTATTGCCCATCTCTAGTACACAAGTACTAAATATTCGACTTGACTTTCATTCAACTCCCCCCCTCCCCCAGTCGTTTCAAATCTCCGATCTGGTTCCGTCGAGAGTTGTCAACTTTTTTGAGGTTAGGTTTTTTTACGTATATTACAATGTAAAATTTTACTCATCACAAAAAGGTGCCCTTGCTGAAAATATGCCGTATGAAAAATACGCATTTGACTGTTCCAAAGTCAACAAGTTCTTCGGATGTTTGAAATCAATTTAGATTAAACTACCTTCCTTTAAATTTTTTTTTTCGATTTAATTATTTTAAGTTAAGTCCATCAATTTGTAAGATGGTTCAATGAAATTGTTTTTGAAGGCCCATAACTTTTTAAGAAAGCAAAATTGTTCCAAGGTAACTAGATCACCCAAGGAAGATCCCTTTGAAGTGTGGCCTATTCATTTCCAGATACCCTGTTCATTAAGAAATAGACGTTGATTGAAATTTTTTTGCATTAAATGATATTTTATCTTATAATATTCCAAGTACACTGTAAGAAGCTTTCTAGAGTAGTAGCTAACGACCTCTAGCAGATGATCAAAAACTAACAACAATGATGTATTTATTACCATCAAAACCTTACCTGTATCAAATTTGGCTACAATTTCATTAAAAAAACTATCTTTAATGTCATGTATCTTGAAAAGAAAAGATGATGGGCCCATCCTCCATAGGAAAAAATCATCTAAGTTTTGTTGTTCTATCACCCCTAAATTTTTTCCTGTTATTTCCATAAAATCCTATATTCTGAATTTCTGTATACACTTTTGAAGGCACTAAATCACAGTGGTTCAAGTTTATTTGGAATTGAATGGTTCCTTAACATTTTGCATTGTAGCATTAGCAATAATATACACCACATGTAATTTTTCTTTAGTTCTTTATTGTGATCAGTTTTACCTAATTCTACAACTTATCAAATCATGCTCCAGGAATAGCACGATTTAACCTAATACGTTATTCCTTGCTGATTTTCCCTAAAATTTTACTACATATATAATTTTTGCTAAAGCAAATAAAGAATAATTAAATATTTTTAAAATATTGTTAGATCCATCTTTACACATTAGAGATGACGAACTGTAACTGTAATTACGTAAATAAGTTTTTTTTTTGTTCTCCTTTTCAGTCCATCTGGTTGTACCTTCTGGGGTAAGAAGCCGTGGTCGAGAAAAAAGAAAATTCTCTGGCAACTGGGAACATTGGTGGGTGCTCCTGTTGGTATAGCTTTGGTGGCAGGCATCACCGTCCCTGCTATGATAATAGGTGAGCAGAAACGATAAAAAATGCAAAGTTTTTTATTTCTCACCGATATTTATTTGATGCATTTTAATAATTATTGGAATTGTGCGGTTCACCTTTATTGGTATTCGAAATTTTTTTAGGCATTCCAGTGTGGGTTGGTAGGAAGTTGTATACAAGATATAAGGCAGCGAACAAGCACAAGAGGAATGCTGCTATTGTGGGAGGAGTGATTGCTTCGGTGAGTCTAACATTTATTTTTTATGGGAAAACGTGCTTAAAACATTTACGTTATTGGAATTTATATACAGAATAAATTAATAAAGTCACTACTAAGACATATTTGTGAAGACAAAGACAAATTTCTAAAGATTCATAATACGTTAATATTATGTTTGAAATTTCCGTTAAACTACAACAAAAAAAAAGATGTAAAAATACAATTGAAAGTTTATTTTAATTTTCTTGTTATTTTATTTATTTACAAAAATACCATAAAATATTTTTCTGTATTGAACCATATAACAAAAAAATCGCAAAATATTGTTTTATGTTTTCGTAGTCCACTTTCTTATATTTTTATTGTTTTAGTTTGACAAAAATAATTGTATTCTTTATGTCATGCTAACAACAGAGATTACATGGGCCGACAAAATTTGACCAACCCTTTAATCCAGTATGTATTTTTTTTTCTGAAAGAATTTGGTGCGCTAATTCGAATCCTATTTTCAAATTTCTCAGTTGGCTCTGGTTTTCGAGATATCCTGACCTAAAAGTGCCAAAATCGCGATTATTTCACATATTTGAAGTTATATTACATGGACAGATAAATTTTTTTGCTAAAACTATTATTATTGGGGTCTTAAAGTACTATACTTACTCTTTAAACCGCATTTGGATTTATCCCAATTTCAATTTAGTCGTTTGACTTATTTCTCGATTTTTGAATATACTGCAACACAGCGCCACAAACCTAAATTCATCGGCACCTAGAAGTAGGGATCTTACATGTTTTTGGGGTCGTTGATCATGAATCTGAACTCTGAAAAACGTCCAAAAATTCGGATATATGGCCAATATTTTATGCATTATATCAATCTGGAAATACATTTACACACAATACCTTCCCGTATAACATAACCTCAAATATATATAAAGAATCGTGATTTTGGCACTTTTAGGTTAGGATATCTCGAAAACTAGAGCCAGTTGAAATTTGGACCTTGGATCCCACCAAAATCCTTTGGGCAAGGCAAGTATATTCGTGTTGTTGGTTTAAAATCTTGTCGGCATATGTTATCGAAGTGTCAGTCCTACTTCTGCAAAAACTATTTATTTTTATATCTAAAGCACTCCGAATAACTAAAAAAACCAAGAACTACAAAAAAAATCTTGAATTGAATTTTATGCCATACAACTAAATAAAAAATTTTCATAATGTGCCTTTATATGAAAAACACTACCTTTCATGTAAACCAGGAGATTGGAACATGGCTTTCACTGTTCAATTTTTCTTAAAAATCATCCAATACCTTTACTTTTAATTCAGTGCTGGTCGGGGCATTAGTCTGCAGAGTAGTTGTTTAATATCATTTTCATAGTACTTGCGAACTAACAAGTTGCTCTGTGTTAGTTTGGTCATTTGAAAGTCTAGATATTAAGTAGCAGTGACCATAAATGTAGCATTATTACATCTCACTTATATTCACTCCATGTATGTATTTAA